CCCCCCCCACAGGGGCTGCAGGGACATGGTGCCAGCCACTTCCAGGAGCGGTGAGGTGCAGGGCCAAAGCAGGCAGGCAGCCTGACTGAGCCCCGCTGCGTGCTGTTGCCACCCCGGAGCCGCTCCAGGTAAGCGGTGCTGGGCCGGAGCCCACACCCCAAGCCCCTCCTGAACCCTGCACCCCACCCCCCTGCCCTGAGCTCTGTGCCACACCCCTCCTGCACCCCAACCTGAGCCCCAACCCCCTGCCCTGAGCCCTCTGCGGCAGCCCCCACCCCTCCTGCACCCAAACCCCCTGCCCTGAGCCCCCTCCCACAGCCCCCTCCTCAGAACCCCCTCGCACCCCTGCCCTGAGCCTTCTCCCACACTCTGCACCCCCTCCTGCACCCCAACCCCCTTCCCTGAGCCTCCTCGTACACCCTGCACCCCTCCTCTACCCCAACCTCTTGCCCTGAGCCCCTTCCTGCACACCACACCCCACACTCCCTCCCACACCCCAACCCCCTGCCCTAGCCCTACATTCATGGCCCTGCATGCAATTTCCTCACCCAGATGTGGCCCTCAGGCCAAAAAGTTTGCCCACCTCTGGACTAGAGTGTTTATAGCACAAAGAGAAGATCTGCTCAGACCTCCTCAGGTCCCTTCCAACCCTGGTATTCTATGATTCTATCCTTTAATCCCACCCCACTACCACCACCCAAGGAGCCTGTGAATGTATGAAGAGGAGTCTGATGTCTCCTAGTCAGCCAGTTTAAGAATGATGTGCCAGATTCCCCTCTCACTCACCCTGGTGTAAATCTGGAGGAATCCCATAGAAGTAAAAAAAGTTACACCAGCAGAATTAGGCCCGATGTGTATGTTGTACAAGTAAATAATTTAAAACTTTCTTTTAGTGCAGTGACTCAGTAGATCCCTGGCTTAGCTGCTTCCTAGGGCTCTTTCCTGTTGTGGAGATGGTTTTCCATGGCAGGACCAGGTGCCTTCTGGAAACCCAGATGATATCTGATGCTGGGTGAACATGACACACTAAGTAATGCTCAGCAGAGGGTTTCACTCAGTCACGGGGTGGAACAATTATATTTCCATATTACTAATCTCCTAGCTCTGGTAGTGTCTGCTCATTCTTCGGTTTCTGCCCTCAGCTACTGCTGCAGGAACCAAAGTAGGTTGAAAACTTAATGGAAGCAATTGAAAAAAAGTGTTGACAATATTATTAACCAGCCCTGTTCTTAATGCAAGGCCTTGTGGTTAAGGCATTGGGCTGGGTTTAACTACTGACGCTGTCACACACTCCCTGTTTGATCCTGGGCAAGTTACTGATCCTCTCCAGACTTCAGTTCCTCAGGTGATAACAATCCTTTGTGTGTCTGTCTTGTCTATTTAGATAGTACCTGCCTTGAAAAATTTACAATCTCTTGCCTAGCACCATGGGGCCCCAATCTCAGCTGGTTCCTCTAATATAAATAACAGCCTGGGGAGTCAAGAGAGCAAGAAAAGAGCACAGTGGGTAAGAGGGGAAGAGACTCACCCTTCACCTTTGCAATCTAGTTCAGCCGTGGAATCCCTGCTCCTGCAATGGCGGGATGGGGGTGGTTTGGATTCCAGATGAAAATTGGTAATTTAGATGCCTCGATAGCAAAAGTTACCCAGTGGAATGGGGGGTTCTGGGGCTCAGGAAAGGGGGGTGGTTGCCTGTGGAGTGGAGAATTCTCCAGCTCCAAGCATGGGGTGTGTTATGCTGGGATGCTAGATCCAGGTGATGAGGCAAGCTTCTTTGTGTGGTACAGAGCTCTAGACCCCAGGTAGGTTTCTAGGTCCTGGGAAATTTGCTGTCAGGTTGAGGATCTGGAAATTTAGGGGTTAATTTCCCCTCCTGTATACAAGGCTCTGTGCCAAATCCATTCGCTGCAATGCCAGTAGCACTAGGACCAGCTGGGGAGCAGCAAACGGACTCCCTCGTGGCTCTAGGGCTGGCGGCAGAAGGGGGACACTTTCCCTCCTGGCTCTAGGGCTGAGAGTCAGGCAGGGGGTTGGGAGAGGGATCCCCCTTTCGCTCTGGGGATGGAACGTGAGGCGGGACACTGGAGGGGAAGTGGGTGCAGTGGGGCGGGGGGAGCCTCGCCCTCGCTTCCTGCATTTGTAGCATCCCATGCCAACAGGTGCCACCCAAGGGGGGCAGGACAGAGCGGAAGGCGCTGCGCTGGTTTACGAGGCCTAAGTCTGACGTGAGAGCCGGAAGGGGAGTAACGCCGCCGTGCCAGGATTCTGGGGTTGTGGCCACGGCTCCTAGCCAGCCAGAGAGATTTCCCAGCCAGGCTCTGCATGGACTAACTTCAGTGAGGGCGGGCTGAGTCCTGGGGTGTGTGACTTAGCAGCCCCTCCCCAGCTCCTTCCCAGCATTCATCTGTCATGAGCTCGCACATCAGGGAGAAGCGGCCAGAACAGAAATGTGGATAGGGAAGAGAAAGAGAAAAAAGAACTGCTCCCCCCAAATGCCCAGCGAGATGGGATTTTTCACAGCACTAGGAGAGGAGTAGGGCTGCCAGTGTGGGTTGTTTCCTGAAGGTTTCATCTCATGACATGATCTTTAAGTTTCTTCCTGGAGACTCCAGGACAATCCTGGAGGGCTGGCAACCCTAGAAAGGAGAGTGACATGAAAGATGAGGGGAGCTGGTGCAGGGGAGGAGAAGGGACCAGCATGGAGATGCAGGCACTGGCTGTGCCCTCTGTGCTCCTCACTCTGGGTGAGGTCCTTCCACTGGTAACGATTCTGGTTCAGTCACTGCAGCGGCGCAGACAGGAGCGAGAGGTCGCCCCAACAATCAGTGTGTCACTGCCTCTTTCCCTCCCAGCTCACTCTCAAAATAAACCAGTCTACTCTTGCTTTCTCCAGGTTCTTTGTTTCCTGTTTCCTCTGCTCGAACGTGGCATCTTGTCCCTGGAGGTTCTGGTCAGGTCATTTAGCACGTTTGGCGTTTGCTCCCCTACCTACCCTCCCCACCGGGGGAAACTGAAAGATGTATCCCTGTTTCTTCTGAAATACTGCAGACCCGTTTTCCTGCACATTCAATAGCCTCCCCCTCCCCCCGAGTGTGTGAGGGGAGCATTTGGCAGATCCGCAGGAACGAGTGATTGACGCACTGTGCCTAAAGCTGGGGGGTGGCACGTTCCTGGGATTTGTTCCTTGCGGTTCTGCAGCAGCCGCAGGCAAATGGTGAATTCCTGACTCGCACCCTGATCTCTTGTCCGCGGACCTGGGCAAATCAGCGGGCAGGAGGTGAGAGGACACCCAGCAAACTCGCACACCTGGACGAGGAGGGAGAGCAAGTTGTGGAAAGGAGTGTCTTGTTAGGCCAATGAAGGAGAAGGGGAGGGTCTGACGCTCCTCGAGGAGCCTGCTGATTCGCTGTCACATGTTAGGGGTGGGACTAGAGCTGGGCAGTGAGAGAGGGTGAGCTGTGACTCCGTGACGTCACTCTGCAGTGGTCAGGCTGGAAGCTGCAGTGCTTGTGTGGTGGAGAGGCGGAAAGAGGGGCGGGCACACAGCTCAGAAACTCACAACACTGTTGCATTGCCCCCTTGTGTGTGACCCCCTCTCTCCCCGTAACCTCCCTGCAATGAGCCCACATGGCTGATTCCAGTCAGGAGCCAGTGGCTGGGATCTAGACAAGTTCACATCGGAAACCCAAGATGCACATTTCAACAGGGAGGGAGATTAACCATTGGAGCAGCTTCCCGAGGGTCGTGGTGGATTCTGCATCACACCTTCTAAGGGCTTATCTATACACAGAAGTTTGTACAGTCTGCACATTGGTTTAACTGAAATCGTCGGTATAAAAATAGGTTAAGTGAAACTGATACAACCTCTGTACTCACATTGGTTTAAAACTGGTTATATCTCAGAACTGCTGTAAACCAGGTTTCAGCTGATGTAAGAGAGTCCACAGCCAAAGTTGCACTGATATACCCCAGAGGTATGATTTCTACTGATTTAGCTAAACCTGGGCTTGTATACACTGCCACTCCCCCAGCGTGGACACCCTTATTCTGGTACAAGAGCAGCTTTTTGTTGTTGTTTGTTTTGTTATTTTTTGTTTAGCTTAAACTTATTTCTAAGTGGCATAAGTTAAACTGAAAAAAGGGCACTCTGCTATAAAAGTGTATACATGGTGGGCTATATCAGCAGAACTATATTGATATAATTGTGTAACTTTGATTACACAAAATTTCCCCATATAGACAAGGCCTTTTTCCAGTAGAAAAGTGCCTTTTTCCTGTTTAGTTTATGTCACTTGGGAAGGGGTTAAAGGGGTATAAGAGTGTCTATATGAAAACTTACACTGGTATAACTAGATCAGCTTAGTTGGGAACATGTTCCCACATAGACAGAGCCTTTGTGTACAGACCAGGCCTAAATTGAGATTGGGCTGGTCTTTCTGAAAGCCTTGCACTGGTTCAGCCACAAGTTATTGGACTCCATGCAGGGATCCCTGGGGGAAATGATCTGGCCTGTGTTTATGCAGGAGACCAGAGTACATCATGATGATCTTTTCAGGCCTTAAAATCTGTGATCAGCAATAGAATTTAGGGGACATCAAATTTGTGCAGACTGTAGGTAATGTGGGGACTGCAGCGAGTGTCCTCCCTCAAACTGACGGACAATTGAAAGGTGAGGGCATGAGGACACCAACCTGGGCATGGTGCTGTGGAATAAATGACACTGGCTCAGGTTGTGCTGAGCACCAAGGGGCTCGGTACGGAAGTGTCTTTCTTGCTACTCCCCCAAGGAGCAGAAAGCACAAGGCGACCCAGCCAGGGCATGAGGACCTATGCTCATGGTTGGATTTGTATGTCGAGGCAGATGCAGGGAGGGCAGTGGCCTCCCATTAGGTGGCTGTGGGCCCTGCAGGAGAGGAGCAGAGCACCCCAGACTGTGGGAAAAGGAGAAGGGTTTCATGGGCTGACCCTGTTTGTTTCTTTTCCCACAGAGAAGTTCCTCCCACCACATGCCTGCTGGGTGCAGAGGGTCTGATCAGTGTGAGCTCACCATCCTTCTCCAGGTGAGTGACCAGAGCGATTCCTGGCTCCCTTCAGTAAATGGGGAGGAGGGGAGCTCTGAGATCTGTTCCCCATTGACCCCATGGGGGGAGGGGTGTAATGGCTCCATCCTGCCCTCTTGCGTGCAGAGGGGGTCCTGTCCCCTTTCAATGGCTCCACAGAACCTATTGGACGAAGCTCCCCCATACCGATTGGCTCTGGCACTGGGGGTGTGTGGAAAGGGAGGGGTGGGGACCACCAGCCAGGCTACATAGCAGGCTGTGATTTCGCTTTCCTATTGGGGTATCTGCCTCTCTGGCCATTTTGGAAGAGGGGGAGAAGATTCCTGGACTTGCAGCTAATTTGGTGCCTGGCTTTGGGGAGAGTGAAAACAGAAACACAGGGAGCAGTAAGGGCCAGTTTCAAAGGGCAGCTCCACTCTGTGCACTGGGTCCCACAAAGGCCCCTCTAAGAAGTGGCAGAGGAGCAGCTCTCCATTGTTCTTGGGTGCTGGACTGGGTCTCAGAACAGTTCTCATGCCCAGCAATCCACAGCCCCCATGCTGGGCCTCCTGCAGTGTAGAGGGGTGAGCTGCCACTCAACTCTCTTCCTGAACCCTTCCCATCATTGTACAGACCCTCAGAGTCATAGGGGGAGAGAGGCAGCTGCATTGTGTGCTCAAACCCAGCTGGCTCTTCCACAATGGTGGCGGCACAGCCCAGGGGCTGATGAGCCGCAGGCGGGTCTTCAAGAGAGCATCCAACATAACTGGGCTGATCTCTCACTGCTGCAGGCTTCTGCTCCTCAGAAGAAGCTCCAGTCTCATCTGCTGCCATGTTTCCTGGAGGGCCATGCAGATTGGTCCTAGCTCTCTTTTGGCTGGCACTCAGCACAGTCCACTCAGCAGCTAACTCTTCCCAGCTGTGCCCGACTCAGCAGCCAGGTAAGGAGGCAGCTGCCTATGTGCCCTTTCCAGGCAGGAAATATCTGTGAGGCTGCCCACAGTGCATTGAGGCTTCCCGGGGCCTCCCTGACACACCTTGTTAGGCAGAGCTGGAGGGAAGAGGCTGGTGTGTTACAACGACGCCATCGTAGGTTTCCATAACACAAATCACACGCTATGGAAATCGTAGTCATCTCCAGGCTGAGCAACCGGAGAGGGGAAATGACATCCAGTCCCTGAGAACAACTGAGCCATCGAGCCAGGGGATAGGCCAGTCAGTGTGGCTCAGAGGAAGATCTGTATGGTGCTCATGGCCCAGGCAATAGGGAGAGAGGGAAAGATCCAGGGGAGGCCTGCTGGGGAGAAGATTGTGTTCAGCATTTGTCTTTACAGCCCATACAACATTCTGTCTGAGAGGATGAGGGCTATGGAGTGGCCAGATTGGACCAGAGCAAGGGTCCACCCAGCCCAATTTTCTGACAGCCAGTTCCACCAGAGTCAGAGGAAGAGACAAGAGACCCCCTAGTGAACAGTGATGGAGTACCTTACCCCATACAGGAAGCTTCTTTCTGACCCCTATCAATTAGAGGTTAGGTTCATTCCCCCAAACCGGAGGGCAAAATTCCTGCCAAAACTCTAGTTATTTTTCATCTTTACTCTTATGACTCTGAACATTTACATGGATAATCGGAATAGCCATTTTTTTTTATCCTGCTAATCCCTTGGCCTCAATAAGCTATTATGGCAGTGAGTTCCAGAGGCAATTTGTGTGTTGTGTGAAAAAGTATTTCCTTAGATTAGTTTTAAATTTGTCATCTTACAGTGTCATTGAGTGTTCCCTGGTCTCCTAACACAAGAATAGAGTGAATAGCAGGGACTGATCTACCTTCTCTGTCCAGTTCATTATTATTTATATTTTTATCCCATCTCCTCTTACTCACCACCTCTCTAAACAGCCCCAGTCTTCTCAGTTTCTCTCCATAAAGGAGTCCCCATGGACCCCCTGGTTCTGATAGATCCTTGCTGAGGTGGGGGGACCAGAACTACAGGTTGGTTTCTCTGTGACTGGACTGGGTATATTGTGCTCTCCCCTCCCCCACTGGGGGGTCCCACCTCATTCCCTTTCATGCTGGGGTCTCCTGGCTCTGCTCAGACATGCAAAGAACTTCCCAGGAGCAGGGGCGGCTCTATGTATTTTGCCGCCCCAATCACGGCAGTCAGGCAGCCTTTGGCGGCATGACTGCAGGAGGTCCGCCGGTCCCGCGCCTTTCGCATCCCTGCCGCCGAATTGCTGCCGAAGCCGCGGGACCGGTGGACCTCCCGCAGGCAGGCCGCCGAAGGCTGCCTGACTGCCGCCCTTGCAGCGGTCAGCAGCCCCTCCCCACGGCTTGCCGCCCCAGGCACACGCTTGGTGCGCTGGTGCCTGGAGCCGCCCCTGCCCAGGAGCACAGTAGCACCAGGGATCAATTAAAATTGTTGCATCCTTCTTCTAGATGTCTCAGCCTGGCCTCGCCATTCCTGCTCCATCCCTGAGGGCTCCTCTGTGCAGATCCCAGTGAACATTTCCAGAAGCATGCCTGAAGTGTGTAAGAGAAACCACTACACTTCCCAGTGCGACAACATCCTGGTACTAAACAGCCAGAAACCACAATATTTCAACAGCAGCTTTGAAGGCTACATCACCTTGTCGGATAAGTACTTCACTGTTGAGAACATGAGCAAATGGCTTGAAGGAGACTATCATATTAAACACTGGAATGGAATCATTACAGCATCTGTCTCTCTGATGATGGCTGGTACGTTCTCAGAAGACTCCTTTTCCCCAGCCCGGGGACAGCCCAAGTGTTCAAACTCCAACCCCACCCTACCAGCTGCCAGGCTTGTATTGAGGCTATATGGGCCTCCTGCAGTCCTATCCCTGTGCCAGGACCCTCAGCCCATGCTGTGACGCTAACCCCCACTTGGAGTGTTGGTGGCAGGTGGGACCCCCGTCCCTTTCTGGAGAGATAGAGGCATCAACATGAGATTCCATTCTCCACTCCAGGGGTGGCAGCGCTCTTCCCCTCCTGCCACACATAGCGCCCCCTGCTGGGTGGGGCTGGCAGGGCCCCCAGAGCACTGAGGCTGGGAGTTAACATGCCAATGAGATGCATGGGGAGATCACCCCTTTCAGAGTGACTGTCTCAGGCTTGCTGCAGGCTCAGGCAACTGCTGCTGCATTGGCTACTCAGGTCATATTTTCTCTCCCCCACCACAAGGGCTAGAAACTTTTGAAAAATCCGCCCCCGCCTTGGTCATGAGCCCTTTGGTGCAGGGGCTGTCTCTCCCTGTGTATCTGTGCAGTGCCCAGCACAACGGGGCCCTGATCTCAGCTGGGACAGGGACTGTCTCTCCCTGTGTGCCTGTGCAATGCCTGGCACAATGGGGCCCTGATCTTAACTGGAGTCCCTAGTTGTTACTGAAATACAAATAACCATTTGTTACATTTTCTTCTCCTGTGCAATTTCTGTTTATTGAATCCTTTCTGGGATCCCATCTCCTATTCTCGCCATTCCAGATCCCACCCTATTCTCGCCTTCCACACCAGGGAGCCCCAAGACTACTGAGAGATCTGCCAATGGGACTGCAGAAGGGAAGAGTAAGTGAAAGGAAATTATTCCCTCTATCTGGTTAGCGCCATATGTTCCTCAAACGCTAGGGAAACTTGTTTCTGGATGATGTCCCATCATGTGCAAAATTCCAGTGGATTTGTCTCCATAAGCCCATGGAGTCCAGATGTATTCTGCTCTCCTTGGCCCCAAATATCACATGGGGAGTGTTTAATGTTAAGTTCCCTTTGGAAATTTTCACCACTTGAACAACTGTATTTTCTAAACAGAGGCAACGTGTGAGGCAGTCTCTCTAGAGGTTGGAGCAGTGGTCTAAGAACCAGGACTCCTGGGTTCTATACTAAGCCCTGGCACAGATTTTTTGTGTTAATCACATGACAGTGCTTTTACTTCCTGATTGCATGACAAATGTGGTTAAAGAAGAGTTAGTGTGGTTAAGTGGTGCAGGCATGGGACTGGTATTCAGAGATGTGGGCTCTGTTCCTAGCTATGCCACTGGTCTGCCGTGTCACCTTGGGTGAGTCACTTTGCCACCAGTTCGCCTCCTGCAGTATGTCTCTCTTGTCTATTTAGTGTGTGAGCTCTTCGGGGTCAGAGCTATCTCTCACTCTATCTGTGCAGGGCCCAGCACAATGGGGCCCTGATCTGGGTTGGAGCCTCTCGGTGCTATCATAATACAAATTAATTATAACAACAATAAAACATCACACAAGTTGGGACTATTTACAGTCAAGTATACAATTGGAAACTTGTGCCATGTATGGTTAAGAAGGTTACAGTACAAATCCTTTATTCCATATGATTGGTCTGCAGCCTGGGAATTATTCACTGGTGAAACTGACAGATAATATGACAGATTAGATATCTGAGAGACAAGGTGTGGGAGGTAATATCTTTTACTGGTCCAACTTCTGGTGGTGAGAGACACAAGCTTTCAATAAAAGATATTACCTCCTTCCACCCCTCCTTGTCTCTCTAATATCCTGAGACCAACAAGGCTACAACAATACTGCAAATAGATACTCAGATATAAATTTGAATCTGAAAGTCAAGAATTTTGCAGTTGATGCCTTCCTGGGGAGTGAACTGTGCAATCAAGGGGAATTAGTTTTGCAGTTGGTGTGTGGGAAACCTGTCAAGATTATTCACTGCAAATTATTCCTTCAGCTCTAATAGTAATACTGACCTACCTCCCAGTAACTAGTGATGATTAGTTACTGCTGGAAAAGAGCTTTGGGCTTCATGGGTAAAAGGACAAAGAATTAATATTATTTATCATTATTTCACTGTGCATTCCTCAAGTTCCCAATAAGGGCCCAATGCTGCGGACTACTGATAACCTCAATACCTTACAAAATCACACCCTACCTGAGATTGCATTGATCCTGGCACACTGTGGGGCGGGGAAGAAAAGTGATGGAAACCTCTTCCATTTCTATTACTCCAGTGATAACATGTCTTTCAGCACATGACTAACGTAAGATATTTCAGTCTTTGATTTATTTGTGGTTTTATTTCAGATTCAACAAACTCCACCCACTATGCATATTTGGCTCTGTTAGTGATGCCTTTTGTGATAGGTGGTCGGGTGCTATGGAAATATCTGAGACAGCACAATCCAGATGGACATAGATTCAGTCTCATTAGCCGGAAGCAGCAGGTCCCAGAAGGAATGAATGGATGTGCCCTCGCAAATGGAGACACACAAATGAATGGACATGCACGCACCAGTGAACAAGGCAATGCCAGTGGATGTCTGCACCTCAGTGAATATGGACATAGTGATGGACATGGATACACAAGTGTACATGTACACACTGATGGGCATATATACCCCAATGGACATGGACACACCAGTGAACATGGCCATGCTACTGTGCCTCTCTCTCAGGGAGCTGGGGCTGAACTGCACAGGCTCTCTGGTGAGGAGAATCCTCTACAAGCGGCGATAACCCCTTCCTAGTACATGATGCACATGGGGACAGACAGACATCATCTGCCTCAGCAATGTGGCCCACATGCATTTTTTCCACACAAACGGTGCAGGGGCTGGTGCTGGTAACCTCAGTTTCTGACTTTCAATTCACCACAGTGCCTGATTCCTCCTTGCTGTGTCTTATTACTGACTGTTTGTGATGCCTGGTGCAGATCTCCAATCCCCTTCCAGGAAGGGCTGAGATGTATATAATTGGCAGAGACCTACAGCCCAATTCTCACTTTAATTCAGCCTGTGGTTGAGCAGGGACAATCTGCAGACTTGGGTAGATGTCCCGATATCAGTCACACTCAGGGCAGTTCCCCCCAAGGCTCTCTAAAGATTCAGGCACATGTTGCTGCATTGGTTACACCCAGGGCAACTCCTGCCTCTCAGAGCAATTGCCTCAGGCTCTCTGCAAACCCAGGAGCTGTCACTGCATCAGCTACACTCAGGTCACATTGTCAGATATTTCTCTGCATCTGTGAGAGCTAGCAACATAGTGGTGGTGTTTTATTAAAGGTGGGATTCTGCTGTAATCACATGACTCCAGAAGCTGGTGCCTTACTAGTAGATTTATAGTGCCTATGCCTTTTAATCCAGTCCTGGGCAGAGACTTGATACCTCAACAAACACATTCCCATCTTCACCTTCAACGTGCTTGGTGTATATCTGTCTATGTTCTCTTCTGAACAAAATTTAACCAGTCCTAGCAAAGAGTAGCTTTGCCAAAGTTTGTTGCTGCTTTCTTTGGGTAAGACAGAAATTTCTGAAGACCCTTGCTCACCCACACAATAGGGCATGGAGTTTATCACAGTTTAAGAGGGAATGTGTTTGGTCCCAACATTATTAATACTGGGCTACATACCATAAAACATGCTCCATTGATTACATATATACCTTCTCTCATAGTGTAAAGCCACACAGAGTCATATCACAATGAACAATAAATACAGCGCATGAGAGTCATTTGCCAGCAACCTTCTGCCACATTTTCTGGTCTTCCCACAGCCTAGAGAAACATTCTGTACTGCAGTCTGTCCATCCAGTCAGCCATATCATAAACCACATTCACCATGGGCGCGCCCTGCCCTGGCATCTGATACTAGTCCCTGCAATTTTCCTCTACTCATCCAAACCACATGTCCTGCAAACTCAAGTCTTCTTCATCTGATCATCTGCCATATATAATATTTATTTTATTTGTTAACATTTATTTTAGAATATTATTAATGTTATTAAATTGTGTATTGCATATAAATTATTATTGATTATTTACAATTACTCTAGTTATTTATATTCCAGTGGGACTGGGACCTCATCCATTGAAATGACAGCAAGGATTCAAAGCTGACATTAGTAACACTGAAAGTCCTCAGAAAACATGAAAGGACTCATAGATTTTCATAGATCCGTGGATTTTAAGACCAGAAGGGACGATTAGATCATCTAGTCTGACCTTCTGCATAGCACAGGCCAGAGAATTCCACCCAGTTACCCCAATTTGAGCCAATAATATGTGTCTGACTAAAGCAGATCTTCCAGATGATACCAAGCTGGGAGGGGTGGCAAGTGCTTTGGAGGATAGGATTAAAATGCAAAATGATCTGAACAAACTGGAGAAATGGTCTGAAGTAAATAGGATGAAATTCAATAAGGACAAATGCAAAGTACTCCACTTAGAAAGGAACAATCAGTTGCACACATACAAAATGGGAAATGACTGTGTTGCCAGCACAGAGTGCCCGAGGCAAAGCAACAGCGGGTTCGTTTTCCGGTGTGCTTCGCGTCAATAAACACACCAGGTGGA